CATGGAGGAACTATCAGAATTATGATACAATGATGTGACTGTTTTAAGACATAGAATGAAATTTTCATGCTATGATGACAAATAAATACTATCTTTGAGGACTACTGACAAAAACTTTAAATCCTTCAAGCAAAAACTCTAATTAAAACTACTACAAAGTATATTGCTAAATGTTTTCATTATAAAACAAAGTTCCTGATTATTCAACTAGAAAGAAATTAATTTATTAGTTATCAGCATGGTTCAAAGGTCAAAATTGGAAGTGCACAAATTGTCCAAAATGCGCTTATACTATTATCATTGTTTTTTTGTTTTTTTTGTTCCCTCCCTTCATTAGTTTGCATTTTTGTTATGACCTGCTAATACCTCATAAATAATGGACTATTACGTTTTGAATATGTGGAAAGAGGGGGAAAAGACACTAATTGGTTTTAGTGAGAAAATGAAAGAAAAACAAAGAAGGGAAGATAGAAGAGAATCAGATTAAGCTGATAGGAACAGATACTACACATTAAACTTAGCCAAAAGGCTGAGAAGCGATTGTATTTTCTTGCCGGGCAATGCTGACAGGTCAGTTTAATGTGGGGAGTATGTACACCCAAGCCAGGTCCAAAAATAGTTCAGCACTGCAACTGTTGGTTGCACTGACATTGGTATTACTACCAATTCCTCCTCTTTAGTGCAATGACAAGAGTACTGTTACAGGCAGCCGTTTCCTGGGACTGAGCACCTCTCAGTAATATTTTCAGTTGCACTCTGTCTCCAGGCAGAGACTCAAATGAGAGATGAAATGTAGCTTATCTGCCTGAGAGCAGATACTACACTTTGATCCCAGATGAAAAGTTGTGTAAAATGGTGACTGATTAAAAACATCATTTTTCAGATGCACAGTATCAAACGACAGAAACAGAGTAAAGTAATCACCAAAAATCCAGTTACCATAAATAAAATGACATCATTTGCTGAATTATTTTTTAATTATTATTAAGAGAAATATTTGTAAAACAAGAATTTGACACCGGAACAAGGAATACAATATTCATGCTCAGAATGTTATCAGAAAGAGAGATACAGATGCAGAAGGACGTGTACCTATGTTTTATAGACTACACAAAGGCCTTCAACAAAGTACGCCACTAGGATCTGATGGAACTACTCAGCAATCTTGATATATTCAGGAAAGATATCAGAATAATCAAGAACCTATACTGGCAGCAAACAGCATAGATGCACATAGGGAATAGAAAGGGGCATAAGATAGGGATGCATCTTCTCACACAACCTGTCCAACCTATACAGCAAGGCAATTCTGAGAGAACTGGAAACCCTACCAGCATTTAGTATTGGCAGCCACAACCTTAACAACATAAGATACGCAGATGACACAGTACTGATAGCAGATATGGAAAAGAAATTACAAAATATCCTACAGAAAGTAGCGACGGAGAGTAAGAAGAAAGGATTAAGCATAAATTACAAGACAGAATGCATGGTGATCAGTAAGAGGAAGAGCCCAAAATGTGATTTGCAGGTTGGGAACACTAGAATCAAGCAGACATGGAAGTGAAGTTTAAATATCTGGGAAGCGTCTTGACAGAGGATGGGAAGTGCAACACTAAGATCTGTAGACGTATTGGGATGGCCATGGACACATTCTAAAAGCTTGGCAGAGTATTGTGAGATAGGAGGATTTCTTTGGTAATGAAGAAAAGAGTACTAAGCTGTTATGTGACGTCTGTCTTTCTTTACGGCAGCAAATGTTGGATGATTTCCTCAAGGATGAAGAAGAGACTTGAGGCGATGAAGATGTGGTTTTACAGAAGGATGCTAAGGATATCATGGACCAAGCATGTGGGCAATGATGAGAGGATGCAAACAAGGAGGAGGCTTATACTTAACATCAAGAGGAGGCAGCTGAAGTTTCTGGGACACATAATGAGGAAAGAGGTCCTGGAGAATCTGATATTCACGGGTTGAATAGAGGGAAAGAGAGACAAGGGAAAACAGCGCGTGACATACCTGGTGAGCTTGAGCAGGTGGATGACAGAATGTGGCCTGGAGGGAGGAAGCAGAGGGAAGGAACTTGTTGAGAGCTGCAAGGGATAGAGGGAGGTGGAGAGCCATGATCGCCTATGTCCTGAAAGGACATGGCACACAAAAAGAAAAAGAATAGTTTCAGACAGATGAAGTTCTTATTCTTATACTGCATGGGGGTCAAAATATTTATATTGCTTTTCTTTTCATTCATCCATCTATCCTTCCTTCCTTCCTTCAGCCCAATGCCAGTTGGCATCAACAACATTCTGGATAATTAATCTCAAGTGGTATCATCCATAGTTGTTGAAATCTATCATGTTTTCATTCTATATAGTACCTGCACCCCATATCTAACAATCTTTGTACAGCTTTAAGTAGCTAGGTTTTTGAATTCAATGATCTCCTCCTAGACTGGTTGCCAACCATGGCTACAGAGCCCAGTCTGACCTGCTATTTAATCCACAGCTGTGGGAGAGAAGAGACGGATTCATACATTTTGAGAGTATTTGTGCCAAAGTGAGTGTAACAAACTCTACTTGAATTCAAACTTGGCTCACCAATTTCTCATTCCAAGCCACTAATCGCTACACTACCTGCAGATCCATTATTTTCTTTCTTTTTCAAAATAGTTCAAGCCTGTATGTTGTTATTGGTCTTATATATCTAAGATATATCATATCAAAACTTTGGATGTGCCATCATAGAAATAAGCCTTAAAGACATAAAAATCTTTTATAATTTCAAATAGTCAATAAATAAAAGTTCAATTGACTTATCTCTTTACTTATTCCAATGTAATAAATTATAACCATGGAATATTAGTGTTTGAGCCTTTTATATTATATTCTTGCTCTGTCCTAGACATTGAGCTCTACCTGGATTCTATTCTTTTGGAAATTTATATATATATATATATATATATATATATATATATTATACAGACAAACCTTCCATCAACAGACTGGATGCAATGGAGAAAATCTGCAGGCAAAATATAAAAAAGTTATGCTGGAAAAAAATACTTACAAATCGTCAGAGATGTATTTCAAAATTTGCAGGCTTAGTGAATCATATTAGTTCTCAAAGTGACTATTTGACTGTGGTGACTGGCCTTTCAATTGTAAACAAAGATGGGTGTACAGTATATAAAGTATGATATATTAGCACTTGCATGAGAAAGTAGCTGTAAGAAATATATTATTTTTGTTATTTTGATTAATATATCTATATTAAGTATATATTTATTTATCACATCACAAGAAAACCTGACATTGTTTGAGTCAGATTCAGCTGGTTTCCTTGAATGTTTTCTAAGCCAGGATGAGTGTTGGGTTCATTATATTGAGCCAGAGACAATCCATGCCATGAAAACCGGTTTCATCTGACAGGAAGGAGATAGCCTCATTTTTTTTTTTTTTTTTTTTTTTTTGATGTAAAAGGCATTGTGTTTATTGACAAAAGGGTCACACCATCTGAGAGTACTATGCCAACTTGCTGAAGCAGTTACGAAAGGGAAGACCAAATGCCCAGAAAAATCGATGAAAGGGGTCTTGTTTCATCAGGACAATGCTTCAGCACACAAGTCCTTGATTTCAATGATTGCTGTGGCTTTGAACAGGTTGATCACCCTCCCTATTTGGTCCCATCTGACTATCATCTGTTCCCTAACATGAAAAAAAAAAAAAAAAAAACATTTAACTGGGAAACAGTATTGCTGTTATGCTGATGACATCTCCTGTAGATGTTTTCTTGACCAACAGAATAAAGCTTCTTCAGCAATGGGATCCTAGCACTGCAACACCAATGGAAAAATTGTGTGGGCCACAAACAGGACTATGTTGAAAAATAAACCTTATCCATGAGAATATCTTACTCAGCCTATGAACTTTTCAGCCGACCCTCGTATACTTTAAATTTATTTGTTTAAACATTATTTTTGAAATGGATATTCAAAATGGATATTTGAGTAGATGGTCTGTTTTTATTTATTTATTTATTTATTAAACAGTATATTTATTTATTTACATCTACTGGCCTAAATATACTGTTTAATAAAGAAATAAAAACAGAGCATCTACTCAAATAAGAGTATCCATTTTAAAAATAACATTTAAACAAATAAATTAAAGATCTGTCGGATTTAATTCACTTATATATATATATATATATATATCACATTTTTATCCCCAATGCGTGCAATATTCCTGACAATTTAGAATTCCTTTTCACCCAACTGCTTCTTAATGTATTTCTATGAGTGATGTATTTTATATCAGTGATAAAAATGCAGAGAGGAATGTCATGAAGAAATTTGGTGATGCTTAAATAAGCATGGAATAATAAGAATCAACTATTTTAAACAAAGAATTACACATTTTACAGTTAGTTTTTGCATTTATTCTTGAACAATAACAATCCCTATTTTCTTGATTTTTAATGCATTTATATAGTAAAGTCATGAGCAATGCATTTACAATATACATATTGTAACCGTATTCTCTCTAATGTTTGCCTTAATTTCTGACAATCTTTTTCTTTCTGATTTCCAGTGTATTTCTCTTTTAATTCATTCACCTAACACTTGCCTCAATTTTTGACAATTCCTTCCCCATTACCGATTTTCAATAATGCAGGCTGCATAACAAAGATTTAAAGTCAAAACTTTAATAATAATAATGTCCCATCCCAGGGAAATGAACAAAATGATAGGACAATTCCATAAGATTTATTTTAAACTATTTGATTAATTGCTCTTATTAAATAATCAATTGATAGTAAATTTCAAGATGTACACAACCCCTGTCATACACTCACATTTCAGTTGCATTCCATTCATGCAGGCTATAGATTATTAGAATGAAAGTTTTGACATGCATATTTAACAAATCTTATTCATGATATTACAGATTGCATAAACAGTTGGTTTATCTTGTTCATTATACACAATTTGGGATAATACTCACCATTCTAACTTTATAATAATTATAACCAGCGTACCAAACAGTTTTCCCAATTAATGAAGGTATAAGGTGATGTTCTGGCACAAAAGGGTGAAAATTATCCCGTCCCAAGGAGTCCCGAGAGTCCATTGCTTTAACTCCCACACTTTCAAGGCATTTACCAATTTCTACATCTTCAGCCCCACCTGCATCTTGACGGCACTTTGTTTTATCGTCCACAGCCTGTACAATAAACCTACGTAGGGCTTCTTTACTGAGCACATATCCAGCCCCTCCACTCATGTAGCCTTGCCTTACATAGGGCTTGAATCTGTGTCCAAAGAGTAGCGGCTCATTGGTGTTATATCTGCTCAGAAAATGGCGCATATTTTCAACAATAGTATATGTGTCATCATCAGCCTTGAAAAACCAGTCACACTCATTAAAGTGGTTTCGGTAAACATATTTGAATGCCTCTTTTGTCTTTGCCCACAGATTGTTGCGACCCTCATTGACAGGCAGTTTGATGATAGGAATGTTACTGGCATCCTCTTCAGAGCTCATAAAGAGCAAAACATTGCAGCGTCTCCCCCATGTTGCATTCACATGGATGGCCTTGCTGCGGATGTTGTTCGGATTGGTCATCACCCAGCAGAGAACCCGTACATGCCTTGCTAAGGCATTGGCCACAGCAGAAGATTCCTCTGAAAGAGAGAAAGAAACCTTTTAAAAATATCTATGAAAAGCAGATTAATCAATTATGAACACAGGATAAAACTTAACACAAGTGTGTATGTGTGTGTTATGTATTTGGGTAGCAGTTTTTCATTAATACAAGTTTGGTTTAAGAGCAAGAAAAGTTCTTTGTTAAGGGTATTTGAGAAGATAACAAGAAATCACATCACTATCTTTTCCAAGAATTTATGGCAATGCACATATAATAAAGAAAAGGACTCTGTGGATAGTCATGATTGTCTATCTCCTGAAGGAACAAGTCATTTTAAAAATTAAGATGTACTGCCATGATCAGTAAATGCCGAGAATGTTATGGACAGAGTATGTAAGCAAAGAGGAAGCTTTATAGAAAATAGAATCTATAAGGAGGCACAGTGGAGTAATGGATGGCGACCCGAATTGAGGAATTGGAGAGCCAAGTTGAATTCTATTCAAATCCATTACATTCACTTATGTGCTAATACCCTTGGAAAAAGGTATGAATCCCTTCTCTCCTCCCCCCCAGCTATGTGTAAATAAATAGCAGGACAGATTGGGTTCTATAGCCTTGGATGGCAACTGGTCTAACGCAACTTACTGCAGGAAAAAAATTGACATGTCAGTAATATATCGAAAAATACATGATCGCTTAAGAATGTATCACACATGGCACATAACTGATTGAAGGAAAATGATAAATTTAAACCAGAAAATGACAGCCGTAATTTCTGGGACACACAAGGAAAGAAGGCTGAAAAACTAACACTCACAGGGGACACAGAAGGTAAGAGAAGCATGGAAAATGAGTAAGTTACTTAATGATTTTGTGTGAATTAGTGGCACAACAGGAATAAAGAGGAGTGATATAGGAGCCAAAAGTTACTTAGAATGAAAAAAGAAAAGAATTGCCCATGTTCTGAAAGGGTTTGGCATATAAGTGAAATATTAGATGTTACAATATTTGGATTTTTTTCGATGAAGAATTGTCAATTATTAACTTTAGACTAGCATTTATTCTACAATGTTATTTCTGTTACTTTTCATTACACCTCCTATGTACTCATTGCACAATAATTAGTTTACAGTATAGACTGGAAATAAACAAGCACCCAGAGATAATCTGTCTTTCTAGGGCAGCTAGCTTACTGTTGCATTAGAGAACTACTGTAAGCAGTTAGGCTGTCTTTATTTCTTATTTCTCTTTTGTTGCATAATGTTACCTACTCACAGGAAGTAGTATGCACTCAATTGCTTCATGGGCAATAGCTGTAGCTATTTACAGACTTTGTGACTTCATATGTAAATTAATCACTTCATCTTTAGTGGTTGAAAATCCAACATGCCATTTTCTTTGTTTACATGAAGCCGTAATAATATTTAAATTCATGAAATTAATAATTAATTTTCTATGTAGCATTGTCAGTTATTAATTTTTGACTTATTTTTAATCTTAATTTCAATTACTTTTTTATTACAGTTTCTCAGATCATCATTTTTTTTTTTTTAATTGTTAATAAAGTGTGGATCGGGAAATCTGTCTTATCAGCTGCCTTACCGATCAGGCTACAAAGACATCATGTGATTTTCCTTAAATCATAACTTGTTAGAAATTTTCTAAAGTAGTTTAGATTTGCTTATGAAGGATACAGATTATTTTTCAAGTATAGCAGATCAATTACAGAGTTAAAGAAGAATAATAATCTGTGCTTAAAAAGAGTCACTGCAATGAAGAAGAAAACAATTGTAATTATAGACAAAGTATACACATGTCACTGAAGCAGTCAGCATCAAAGAAAGCATTTTCCTCGTGTGACAGATAAGTTTAAAAAAACATTAACAATATCATTAATAAGCAAAATGATTGACGTAACTCTCCCAATATTTTACAACACTCAAGAGAAGAGCTTCATTTAAAAAAAAAAAAAAAAAAAAAATCAGTGTTTGACAACGTTAAACAATATTTCGACATTATGACTGTCCTATTCAAGTTACATTTAAAAAATCTTTTCAAGTATAAAAATATATAAATCTACAAAAAATTATTAGTCTTTGTACAAACTTTGCTTGTATTGTAATAAAAAAAAAACAAAAAAAAAACAGCTCTACTGGTATGCATCAAAATGAATAAAACACCACTAGCCTGAAGGCATGAAACTGAAATGTGCTTAATATGATGGTGATCTTGCTCATCTTGTAATTTTCTGTTAGTTGATTAGTTACTAAGAGGAATTAATCAAACAGCTTAGTATAAATCTTATAGAATGCTCCTGTCATTCTGTTCATTGCCCCAGGGCAGGAAGTTAGTAATTTGCATACATAATTATCACCATGCATTTTAAAGGTTGAAAGGTGAGTAGATTTTGAATATTTTTTCAGAATGAGTAACTTAAGATGCTTGTTGAAATTACAGTTGTTTGATGTAAAATGTTCTGCAAGGTCAATTGATGTCATACTGTAAGATCTGACATCATACCTTTATCCATTGAATCTTTTATTTAATTTCTCCATTGTGCAACTCACATAAATCAAGTCATGTTTGATATATTGGGTGGCATATATTAAATGGGAATCAGTACAATATCATTACATTGGTCAACACCAAACTTATCTAAATTTTTTTTAGCTGATTTAGGACAATTTTGATGTGCTGAATCCAAAATCAAATTGGTTTTGCTCAAACAGGTCAACTTTTTGAGTTATGGCCACATGCTGTTTTTTATGTTTTTGTTTACATTGTCATGTCCATTAAAATATCTAAATATGCAACATATTTCACACAATAAACCTAATGAATTTTAACTCATAAGAACTATTTTCAGACAAAAATAGCTACATATAAAAACATGCCTCCAAAATATTTATAAACCAATAACATGCAATAAAGTGCTTACATCTCAAAACACACTAATTAAACTATACAATACAAATCAGAAAGGTTGTTTTATTAGCCATTATAAAAGTAAAATTATATAATTCAGGAGCCAATTTCTCAGGAATAATGGTATAAAAATCATGATGTTTGACCTCAACAACAGAGTCTCTCATATTTCACTAAGGGCCATGTCACTAACTGCTAATATTCAAGACCTCATTCACTTCCACACACACACTATCATGAAACAACTCAGCAACTTTGTGATCAGGATAAAACTTGGGTGCCACACATGGTATGCAAGAAATGTACCGAGTATCTGCGTTGGTGGGCCAGAGGCAAGAAAATTTGTCTGAAATTTGGAAGGAGCCAACAAACCATAGCACTGACTGGGATCAACAGAAAGAACCAGGGCAGCCTCAAGTATCCTGATCTTCAAGCAGCATGTCGTCCTGTAGCTCAATATGATGAAATTCCAATACCTGTATATGGAGAACTTAGTGAGGACATTAGTGAGGAAGATTTCTCCAGTGTTCAAGAAAAGGAAGAAGAAAAAAAAGTGGTTTTTGATGATGATGCACAATATCCTTTTTCCTAAAAGGAGCTAAATGATTCAGTTTCATGTTCTCAACTTGCCAAAGTCCTCTGCTGAACTGTTGGCATCCAGATTAAAGGAAAAAACTACTCTCTGAAAGCGAATGCATCGCCTACTGCAACAGACATCAAGATTACCTCTGTTTTTTCTCTGAAGAAAGGGACTTGGTGTTCTGTATAGATGTTGTGCAGCTTTTGTACAAAATTGGAGTGCTACAATATGAACCAAAGGATTGGAGACTGTTCATTGAAAGCAGCAAGTGATCACTGAAAAGTGTTCTGCTGCACAATGGCAACTAATTTGCCTCTGTACCCCCTCGCTCATTTGACTACACTGAAATAGAAATCTGAAGCAGTGAAGTATGTGCTGGAGAAAATTCATTATAATCAGTATGAGTGGTTTATTTGTGTTAACCTGAAGATGGTGAACTTTTTGTTGGGACAATAGTTCAGGTTCACCAAGTACCCATTCTTTCTATGCATGTTGGATATTAGGGACACTGCTTAGCATTCCACAAAAAAAGGACTGGCCTGTTCAGAAGGAATTAATGCCTTGCAGAGCAATGAATGTCATCCATAAGCCTCTGGTGGACAGAGACAGGATACTTTTTCCACTGTTGCACATCATGCTTGACTTGATCAAGCAGTTCAAAGTTCTGGACAAGGAAAGTTACTGCTTCACTTACTTGTGCCAGGCTTTTCCAGGGTTGTTGATGGAGAATTTGAAAGCTGGCATCATTGATGGGCCTCAAATCAGTCAGCTCATCAGAGATCCAGAATTTGAAAACTCAATATATGAAGTGGAACTGGAAGCATCGAATGATTTTGTTCTGATCATGAAGAACTTTCTTGGCAACAACAAGGCCAGGAACTATGCAAAACATGTCATCAATATGTGAATCGGTTTCCTGAGAATCTGGGATCAATGAGTGATGAACAGGGGGAGAGATTCCATCAGGACATGAAAGAGATGGAGACCAGGATGCTGAGATGCAGTCATGATGATTGATTACTGCTGGACTTTAAAGAGAGACACCCTTGCCGCTGATCATTCTAAGGGTTTGAATAAATGGAATTTCAAACCCTTAATTTTAAACAATGTTTATGTAACATGTAATTTACATGTACTTACATTTATCAATGTATACTATTTAATTTATTGTAATCAATGTTTGTAACATTTAATTAATAAATTGTGCTAGAAAACAAATTTTTTCTCTTAAATACTTATTTCATATGAGAAATATTAACAAAATTCAATTGATAGTCACAAAAATGTAATCTATTTAGTCAAAAGATTGGATTTTTAAAAACTCAACTTTGCATGAAAACATAAGCTGATTGAAAGAAACAGATGTCATTTTTTGGACTCAGTGGTGAAAAATTGTCCTAAATCATTTGGAAAAAGATAGACAACGTGAAAAAAATGTTAATGATAATAACAAGCGTTAAGAGAAGAGCATGATTTAAGAAAAGAAAAAGAAAAGACTGACAATGTTTAACAATATTTCAACAGTTTGTCTT